TCTCTCTCTCTCTCTCTCTCTCTCTCTCTCTCTCTCTCTCTCTCTTGTGCGCATTCTTAGTCTCATTAATTTGGCTACCTTAGGGTTGCGATCCCCTCGCCCACGCAGTATACAATATAGTGAATGGTCAGGGAACAACCAAGGAGGATAAGGGGATATTGCAAAAGAACAATGGGTTAATTTTCAATAATTAGACGGACCTAGATCCAACAATGCCCCTTTGCCCCCCATCAAATTTTTGAGACCCCTTCCCCCCAAATACCCTGCCAATAGTCGAGAATGCATGGTATGGTCATTAAGAAGGGTCAGAACTTGGTTACAGTCAGATATGAAGGAAGTCTGCAGTGGCTTCATGACAGTAAGACAACCACCAACCCTTTGGTGTCCCCCAAAGAAAGGTTCTTGACAATTGAAAGGATGCCCCAACGCTTCAAAGGAATTGCAGAAACTATAAAGTCGACCAACATGTGAAAGGTTGAAAAGGCAGGGATGGAAGGAATAGATGCGGTTTGAGAGAAAAAGGGAGGGAGAGAGAGGGGGGGACTAATGAGCAGGTTCTCCCCCTTCAAATAACCTGTTCAGTCAATCCTTTGGAAACTATAGTAATCAATGTTGATGTAGGGTTGATGAGACAACTTTTCTTCCGACCCTCCTACATGCCTTTTCCACAAACTCATCTCCTGCGCAGTTAATCCCCTGAGGATCAGGGCAATAAATTATGGCAGGCCGTCACTGGATATTAAATACTTGATGTAAGATGGGACACTGGACCCGGTTTCCGGCAGGTGTGGCTCCCCAGCAATAGATTGGAGCAACCAGAAAACCTGCTAAGGGGGGATGCTTTTGTCACCTTTCCTCGCATGAGACTGGTTTTAAAAAAAATAAAAATAAAAAAATCACGGACTCTCCGAAATTCCCATCCAGATCCAGCGGCCTCGCTCAGGGCACGCTCACGGCATACTCACACTGCGTCCTCATTTGGGAAGATCAGATTTGAGGTTTTAGGCATGGTTCCGATCGCACCGCTGTACCTTTCCAGACGGGACAAGACCCTCGTCGTTTGGAGCAATGATGATTTGATACTTTGTTGGTCACATGGCACCATCCCCAAATTATGCAAAAACTTTCATAAATGAATTTTCACAAATTATAAAAAAAAATGCAAAAAACTAAAGAGGGCATTTGAGGTGACCGCAAATTCTCTTGCCCCGCAGCTACACAGGCCGCTGATAAATGGACAAACGAATGATACATTTAGGACCTTGGCAAATTTATGTGACCGGTCCTCTACCTTTTTATGGTAATACACTGCAGTTCCAAATCCGCATAATCTACAAAATATAGAAGCCTGATTCTGGGATTTAGTGATGAAGTCAGTCACACTGTGTCCCGAAATCACCCATTTCACAGTCGTGGCAGGTCGACCAGTATGGAACTTCGGAGGCCTCCAATCGCACGACACCCACCCTTGTTTGCCCCCAAATCACACATTTCACATTCGCGGCAGATTGGTCAGTGTAAAACTTCGGAGGTCTCCAGTCAAATCTTTCAACATTTTTCAAATTCTTCCAATTCACCCTCACTACCTACCTACCAGTACTCCTAAGGTGTCCCTCACATGCTTTTCTTGATTTTCTTATTATTTTTTTTTAGGCTATCACTTTTCGCAAACAGGCATAACTTCAAATGGGGGTCTTTTCTCGTTGTGTGAAATTTTTTCACTCCCAATCTGACCGACAGTGTGCTTCACTACATTCCTACTTGTCATTGTGTCTGTTATGTTAGGTTCCGCTTATCCGTACCGACAAGGACGTGGTAAAGTTGAGTTGTAGTCCAACAT